ATATATATATATATTACTTTATAATATTTGGTATATTGTCCTAAAATCATAAAGGACGAAGTAAAGGTAAAGGACAAAAAACAAATCAAATTTCCAATGACAGTTTTATGTTATCCTTGGGGTCAATGTGATTAATTTTTACTGATGTCGGACAGTACACGTTTATGTGTCATTTATTTTTTATTTTATATAATTTGGAAAATCCATAGGAGTGAACTATTTAAGTTACAGATATTGTTGATGCACTTCTTTCAAACTCTGTTGCTTGGTGAAAAGTCTTTTCCAGGCTGCAACCAAAATAGCACCAACATACAAATTTAGAGTTTAGCGGTGTGTGACTGAATGATGGCTTCTAATGGGAAAGAGAATGTGTGAAAAAGCTTCGTTTTCCCTCTGTCTGTCTTCCTTTTTTTTTTAATACTGTCACTTTTCACATCCACAGACATGCGTGCACACACTGACGCCACCGAGTTCTCTCTCAATCATAATGAAACACTAGCGTGCACACGGACACACACACACACATGCACACAGACACACGCATACTCCTACACCTCCAGAAATAGAGGCAGCAACAGTCTCGCTGAGTCCCTCAGCCCACATGTTGATAATGTCACCTTTTTAGTGTTTCATTACCTTGTGCTAACAATCAGAGAACATCTTTTTCTCTCTCCCTCTTTTACACGCTTACTTTTTTTTTCACCATCTTTACTTGCTCTGTCTTATTTTGGAATCAGCGATATGTTTGAAAGGAGCCGTCATCCCACTTAATTGCCGTAGTTAATGGAGCTACACTGCAATTTCTGTGTCGAGTCTGGAGAGAAGGGGGAAAAAAGTTTATGATCCATTAATGTCAGTAATCTCACTTCTGAATTGCACTCGGAGGAAATATCAGATAAAGGGAGGACAATATGGAGGCACCACGTTGTCCATGCAGAGGAGACGGTTTCATAATTACACAGGAGTCATCAAAAATAACAATTAGCGGATCAGGTGAACAGCGAGCTTCTCCGGGAGGTGCTAACTTTAGTTTGGTGACACATGTGACTGTTCTGTTTAAAAACCACATGCATCTAAAATGGATGTTTAACCTAAAAGAAAGAACTGTACTTTAATTAGGCACGGCTATATTTAACCTTACTTCTATTTAATTGCTTGAAATGCGTGCAGGAAAAAACGCGAGGTAGTAAATCTAAACACCAGTAAGATGTCTTCTCTGCAGACTCTGAATATCCCCGTATCTCTAAGCAAGCTGTAATAAAAATAGCCATTCAAACAGGTGTTGCCAAGAAAACTTAGAAGTCACGTGACAAGTATTCTGGATAAATTTATCCAGCTGGTGACATACAACCTCAGCTACTGCTGCCAGTGAGTAAATGTATATATTTCCTGATACTCTTTTTAGCCAGATGTTTAAATAATCATCAGATATCCCAATAACAAAACATATTAAAAGTGACAGATTCTGAGGTCTGACAGTGTGCAGAGGAAAAACAGTATTTGAAGGGAAATAAGTAAACAGATGAGCAGATGGTCAGCGAGAGTTTAATGCTCCAGCTAAACTCAACTGTTGCACGTTGGTTGACCAGAGCTCAGGGTTATAATCAGTGTTATATAAACTGACAAGTGAGATCTCCACTGTTGCCGTGCAGTCGGCCTCTGCTCATCGCCTCACTTCCCTCCGAGCTGTTTGTAGGTGTATATTTGACATGTATTAACGAGCAGATCTTAAGGATGTTTTCAAAAGGTTAAGAGAAGACGAGAGCTGCCACGTACTGGACAGAACAGGAGCCAAGGAAGCAAGACGACGTCCAAATGACTCTGGAGTCAAGGGATGAAAATACGACCGGCCATAAAAGCAGGACGATCAACAAACTGTTGATGCAGAATCATTTCAAAGTAATACAGCGCCAGATAGAGGAAGGAATGAAACAGACACAGATGTGACATCAGCTCCTCTCAGAAACCACCAAACACCAAACCAAATGTGATATATCTCAATCGAACCGATTCCTTCATGGCCACTCCAAGACAATGCAATAAAGTGTAAAGGAAAACTCTCTGTTTTCAAACACAAATATTGCAGAAAATCTTTTTTTCAGTCTTTGAAATAAACTGTATTATATAATCAACTGACATGTTGATATAAATGCTCATATAAGTTCTTCTGAGGTGATCTGTGGTTTGGCAATTACCTTGAATGACAGTGAGAGGAAAAATACCGAGGGGCTAAAAGGACAGAACAGAAAAAGAAATAACAGTCATTAAAAAGGTAGACAGACAGTGAAGAACAGATGTGGATTTGTTTGGAGACTACACTCCTAGAATACAAAATGTTTTCCTGGTTCTTTCTAGAAACAGGCTTTGTCTCCAAGGTTCCTCCTGAGCTTTTAATGTTTAGCTAAACTGATTTGGAAAATGGTTTCTAGAAAAACTCAGTGTCTCAGACACAAAATATGACAAGAAAAAGACACAAGCTTTTTTTTGTTTAATCCAACATAGAAAACCCAGAGGTATGTAAACAAATAAATACACAGTGGATACACACAGGGCTAATTATATATAGCCTAAAATACATAAAATACATTTACTGCATGGATGTATATTTACCTTTTCTGTACTGCCATGAATATTTTATTATCTAGATGTATCTAATTTTCACTGATGACAGTTTTTACCACTGAAATGATCAAACTGTTGTTGGCTTGTAACTTGGAAAGATTGTTGTAGTCGTCCTACATGCAAAAGATTTTTTCTATTTTGATTATTTAAAATCTGTTGCCCACTCACTGGCCGCAGTCCAAGAGGATATAAAAAAAAATCACAACACAGAAACACAACTATCCAGCTGTTTTAATATTTGGATTTCCCCTGGTCAGTGAATTTAAAAAAAGCCAGAGGTTATTTTTTATAAATATTTCTTGCTAATTTTTAAAAGTTAATTGAAAATATGTGTACTTGTTGCAAGTTGCAAAGTTTTCAGAGGATGCCTTAGCAACAATACTAAATCAGGTATTCCCAGTTTTTCACTTTCCACAGAAATCTGACAGATTCACGGCTGCACTTCCTCCTTTCCTCCGTTCAACCTGACTTTACACCAGTGCAAAGTGGGAACTGGCTTAAATAATCTGGATCGGTGGTAAAGAGCACAGCAGACATTAAAGTCTCAGCACAGGAGATGAAATGATCACCGTGAGGCCACAAAAGTACAGTTAGAGGAGCAGAGCAATAGAAGAGGTTATAACCACCATCAGAGTGAAATACAACAGTGATAGGGTCTGAGAAGAGATGCTCAAATCAAGATCCAAATAAAATGAAATAAAATACTGGCCTTGGGTTCCCTCTATTTCTGTCTCTTTTAAGACCCTCTAGGTACAGAGGGGATCAGTGGTGCGAAAAAAATGCACTTGAAACTAGAACTCCTTGATATGGTATTAAAGAAATCAGTGTAACATCGATAAATATTCAGTTCAGGATAACCTTCTACCAGAGGAAACTGCTTAAACAAAAGGTTCAAGCAATTCACTCAATAAATACATTTAAAAGTGCACATTTTGAGAAGTTTTCAGTTCATCAGGTTGGTATCAGGGGTGGGTATGATGGGAGCATCCACCAATGGTGCAGTCTACTTTATACAGTATGCATGAGTCATGGCTCAAGAATGTGGGCTTCATACAATCAAATCAATTGTCTCCATAGTACCTGATGGTGATGTGACTCTCACACATGCTAACTACTACTGCTCCAGTTGAGAGGGTGTTTTCCTGCCCTCACTGCAGTCCAGTTCTGTTTCCTACTTAAATGTTTATAGTGTCATTAGAAGGATAATTTAACTACAGACACCAAGGACTGTTAAGCGGCTCAAGTTTTCTTCACAACAAAAATGGGAAAACGTTTTAATTGGGAAACTGTGTCAATTTGTATCTTTGGGTTCCGCGTGATTAAAAAGTCTTATTTAAAGAAAGGGCATTTGGTCTAGTGGTTAACTATCCAACTTTTTGGGCTGTTTTTCCTGTTAAATAAACATAATAAATATAAAAACTCTCTGAAAATCTGTCATTTGTCCAAAGAAGTGCAGAATCAAGTACACAAACTGTCAAATCATTCATGGTGACACTGCAGAGCAGGTAAGCAAACCGCCACCATTCAAAGCTTGACCCAGGTGATCACTAATCCTGCCCGTTGGGTCAGGGTGTGGTCACCTCCTTTGTTTTACTATTACTGCATCTCTCTGAGACCAAATACCAGAATTTTTCTGGCATTTTAGAACTGACTTGGATGAACTGGGGAAATGTCTTCAAAAAAACAAACAAAAAAACCAAAAAAAAAAAAAACAACACAGTTCACTTGGTCTGTACTGAAATAAAATTACCTGAATGAATGAGAACCTATGACAGTTTGCCATCTGGTGGAAAATTGCCCAACATAAATAAATGCACCAAGGCAATTTAATGGTTGTGGGATGTCGATAAGCCATAACTTAAAATTCAAAAGCACTGTGTAATGCCTGTGATTATGTCCCCATAACACGGACATCACTCACCTAAATTACTCTCATCCATCTCTCTTTTTAACCTCCTCACCACACACACACACACACACACACACACACACAGCTCACTATCAGTTCCTATCACCTGCCCGGAGATGGAGCTGAACGCTATAGTCACCAAGTCTCCCTTTCGTGCCATCATTTGTTCGAGAGGCGACACTGTAAAAACCATCTGTAAAGACCACTTGTTCCAGAGACTCCGTCATTGCTCTCCCAAAATATACTCCCCTCCGCGGCAGGACGCGGGGTTATTAAGCCGCAATAACATGTGGAGGGGAAACTGGGGGTCACACATGACCCCTTCTCTCCAACTGTATGAGTCGAGTAGGTGCGCGTCAACACAACGTGCACGTTGGCACGTGTTGGTTTTGCATGCTCGCACGTGCACGCGCGCCCAGGCAAATGGAGTCCCATGTAGCGGTGGTGTCTAAGGCTCTGGGAGAAAGGGAGCAGCTGGGAATGATACTCTGGCTTGTATGAATTCTGCCCAAAGACCTCGGTGCGGGGTTTTCTTCCCGTCCTCTTCCATCTGCATATGGAAATATGCGCGTGCACCTGCAGCATCAGGTTTTTAAAGGGACGGTATATGGGCAGAGCGCAAGGAGAGAGGGAGAGAGAGGGAGAGAGCGAGAGAGAGAGAGAAGAGTGGAAGGGAGTGTTTTAATTTTCATAGATAGATAGATAGATAGATAGATAGATAGATAGATAGATAGCAGGTGGAGGGGAAGGAGAAAGAGGAGTCCGTACACGCACGCGCACGTGCGCGCACAGACCTGAGGAAACGTTGCACTGCAGACTTGACTGACTTCATCGCCAGCTCACTCTGCCTGATCTGATGAAAATAAACCTTTCCCTCAAAAGTAAAGGCAGACATGTGCTCTCCCCTCGGTTTGAAGCATCCCCCAAACCAGCAGCTAGGACTGATAAGTGGGCTTATAAAATATTTATTGAATTAATTTTACTCATGTGCTGGCAATGACCTATTACAACATGCTCTCCCGACTCCTATAACCACCTTAGAAGTCTTCTTCTTGTTGCAGAAAATGTGAAAATGTCCTCTGATTTGTAGTCTCAGTTGACATTACGCAGATGACTACAAAATACACGCCGGGTATCGTCAGTCCATTTTTTTCCCTTCCTTGCAGATGCACGCAGTTCAGCGCTCTTCGCTGTTCTGAGCTCAGTCTGGAGTGGTGCGGCTGTAGCAGTAGAACATTTGGCTGTAAACAGAGACACTCTGCTGTTGTCTCCATGCGAAACCTTGGATTTTAGGAGACGGTGAGTGATTCGTGGGGCGATATTTTATTGCAGAGAACGACTGGTTTCCTCAGCACACGCTGGTGAGGGAGCACGATTTCCTTAAAATTATGTAGGTGGCTTTCTCCTTACGCGCAACCGAGCCGTGAAAACCCATTATGTTAGGCATCCTTGTGAGAATTACTATCCGTTTTATAACTGCCACTCTTGTCCTTGTGATGTTTCTGTCTGCTTTAAGTGCGTGGCGATTTTTCTTTTGGCAAATACCGTTATTTAATCTGGAAAGCATCACGCTGACGTGAGATGGTGAGGCAGAGACGGCTTAAGGGAGGAAAAAACACGGGATCCCATTTGAGAATGTAAGAAGAATTTTATTTAGAGGCTACAGAAGAGAGACTAGGGCGACAGCAGGGGAAGTTAAACTGTGGTGCATATAAAATGGGCGGGCTAGTCCGTATATTAGAATGGTACAGCCTATTTTTATAAAAAAAAAAAGATGGTCTGCGCTTGAAGATAGGATGTGTGCCATGCGCTATAATTACTAGATCAAGTGAAATTTGGTTAGAGATATCGGTTCACCGTCCACATCTGTGAGTTGAGAAGAATTTTTTTTGTTGCTGACAGACTGACAGAGTTCAACTCACTACAGCAGCACCAATGAACAGTGCGAGAGACCTGCGCATATCGTCAGCAGCCACTTCTCCAGCCTCAAGCTAAGATTCGTTGAATCCGAAATCACTGAGGATTTTTTCCTCATTCAGTTCAGCTAGAAACGATTTTCCCCAAAAGTTTGAGGACATAGGCATCGGACACCGAATATAACCGACGCCCTTCTGCTGTACGTGATTTTGTCCTGCTGTAAGTGATTTTGTCCATTTTTATTGCCATTTTCAGGCAGAAGGATGATGGGGAATAACGTTGAAATTTGGAGGTGATGGTTTGTGTCACTGGACACCGCGAGGATAGAAGACGAGTTTTATTAGGCGACAGAAGGGAGTTTTCGTCGAAATGTTGACCGTTTAAACGATGTTTTATGACAAAATGGACAGCTTGTTGAGAGCAGCCGGGTTTCAGCACCGCGGACAGCGCACCGAATAAAACACCATCAGCGCGCATTTGCTTAATTACTCCGCCAGGCACGAATGAATCGCCATGCATGTATTCAGTCGAGCCTCGCAGGGATGCCAGTTGCATACCAAATTCAACCACAAATGTTAAAGTCGTGTGTTGTGTTCTGCGGTGACATTTTCTCCTGTATAACTTAGAAAGTGCGCTTGTGCGGGATTTTCTATTCGACTCGTTAATCTGCATCATCCCCACTTTATCAAATCCTGCTCAACCGAATGGCATCTTTTGATTTATTTTTTTTTTTTTAAATATATTGTTCCTTTCTCACCAAAAACATTGATGATTTCCCATTAGATTATTAGACCACATTGGAACATCACCAGCAAGTAGCAAGCGTAAAGTCGTCTATGTATGGTTGTGATTTAGTGGCAAACAAGGGCTGATGGTAAACCGTGGTTAAGCGTTTGTGCATAAGTAAGTAATCTGTCCTACACTGGACACGTCACATCAGTAATCAGAAGGTGAAAGAGCAGGCGAGCGCAGTAGCGCAGACTATTGCTTACATACTTTATGATCTGGCAGACATCACAGCTTGATGATTAAAGTGAAAAGCCCGTGCTCTTATTTGAGGGGATTTAGTTTAATATTGCCGTGTGTCACACTGCAGGTTATTAGAGGATGTTGTGTAAGGGGTGTAATGTGATGCTGTGTAATTTCTCCTTAATTGTTATGCGCTAAAGCTACCTCCACATGCTTGGGTAGTCAGGAGCAGTTATGAAACATTCAGTGTCTTTCTGGTCACATAGATGCTGGGAGGCTATTTTTGGTGTCTCGCAGTTAGGGTGTAAAATATGTCTCTGTCCATGTGACAGCTAAATCAAAATGATGATGTGAAATCTTTGAGTGGTGCGTGTGCCAAGTGCTATGTGATGGCCTAATGGATGTGACAAGCCTATTTGGTTTGATTCATGCTTTCGGAATGAATCAGAGTGGGGGAAAACATCTCAGCAGAAACAAAGTCCCGTCCGGTGCCTGGAACATCTCTGACAGCTGTTGTTTCAGCCCTGTTTTATGTTAAACACCAGATGTGTTGAAATGTTGGTTTATTATTGGCCCACTGGCTTACATTACATGGCAATGATGTTCTGAGACACCTTCACTCTCTCTTTGACCTCCAGCAGTGAAAGGTCCTCATATCGCAGCTATGTGTGGATGGAGCAGGAGAGCCTTTCTCTATCTGTGGGCTTGTTTGCTTGTTGCCAACAGCGTATTGAGTGGGAAAAGGTAAGATCACACAATTAACACATGCACTGACTTCAAGTATGTGAATGCCACTATATTAAAAATCCACAGTGTTCAGCATGGAGCCCAATAGGAGGCTATGGTTCAATATATTCACTACTACTGGACTTATTATAATTCTTATTGCATTTAGCCTTTCCCTTAAAAGAATATTATATACAACACAAACACAAGGGCCACATGTGTAATTATTTCATCCTGATGTTAGTCTGTGTTTTCTTTTATGGCCACAAAGCAGTAATTCTGTCAATCTACAGACCTGTCGTACAGGCAGCCAGTGATACAACCGGGTCAGTTTTCTGTCATCCTGTCTATTTTTGGTGTGATGGGCGACACTCCTACAGAGCGTATTCAATGTGGTTGTAAGTGGGACATCGGCGCAGGACACCTGCGTGCCTATATTTACATAGAGGTAATAAGAAGTGCAGTACAGAGAGGTAAGATGTGGGAGCTAAAATAGCCTCTACATTGCCACAGTGTTGCATTTTTTAGTCCACTAGTCTTTTTGATAAAGAGCTACATTCTCTGTTTTCAGTCCTATGCTGTGCACGGTAGAATGTGCATGTTGCATCCAGATGTTTGCCAGAGATCTGATCACAAGTTGTGACAGTGGCTGCCAGGACGACGTAAGTGCTTTAGAAACTTGCCTTGCAACGTCAACAATGACGGGTCACATGTCACCTACTTGATAGCAGACAAATAATGAAGAGTGAGAGAAAGCGAGTTTTTGGGATGGAGATTTAAAGGTCAGCTGACTGCTGCTGCTGCTGCATTAAAACCAATTTCATCTAAACCCTGAAAAGCTATTTATGCCAAAATACTGCACTGTGACTTTACTATTTTGATTGATACTACAACAGGCCAAGAATAACAAGAGCCTATTGATACAACAAGGCCAAGCATTCATCATTTAACTGCTGCAGTTGTATAAGAGCTTCTCAATTGTCTTCCCATTGAGGTTCTACTGGAGAATACTAGAGAGACGGAGAGGATCAGCCTTCTCTGCATGGTTGAATAATTCAGTGGAAGTGTCACAGGCAGCTGATTTTAGTACCTATGTCTTGAGATGGTCCAGCCTGCTTCTCTATTTGTAACATCTACACCACAAAAATCCATACAGTGTGCATCGCAGTTTTCTCCTTACATGCCCCAGGCACATGCAGTGCACATATGTAATGTCTCTTAGGTGAAATGTGTATGTTCCAGAGTAACATGTCATCACAGAGCACTGATTTGTCTCAATGTTGTAATCAGAGCTGAAGGTAAGCTTCGAGACTAGCTGACTTACATATGGGGAGGCAGATGTCCTGCACTCCGAGCCCACCCTGACTGCTGAAAAGCTGTCACCAAAACAACAGAGTAATTATCAACAAAGGATTTACTGCAAGACTCACTTAGCCCCAGTGCAAACACACACACACCTTGGTGGGATTTGGAGGAGCTGTGGTAATCAGGGAGACCTGGCTCTCCTCTCCAGTATGTCACCAATGACAGAAATTGGCTTTTAAGTAGATACCGGAGAGATGAGAGGGGCACGGACTGCTGAGAGAAAGAGAGAGGCATTGGCAGAGAAAGTGTGAACAGTAGTGTTGCTGTTCAGATGACCTGTAGATGGGGGTGGTGTACAGGGTTTTATGAGAAGGTGGCCCTTACTAAGAAATAGTATTTTCTTTCACAAACCCCATTCTATATTTCTTTTTCTTTTCTATTGCATGTCACCAGAACGCTCACTATATGTGAAGAAACGTATATATAAAATAGAAATTAAAAAAAATATTCAAGAACCGCAAGGAATAATGTTTTTTTAGCCAGCCTTTTGATAATGCTGTATAAAAACAAATATATTTTATGAATGTACAAATGTTTTATTATAACGTTATCCGATGTCACAACAATGCATCGGGATTAAATAATCTCTGTCGTCAATATTAATTTAGCTCATTTAGGTTCTTAGGTTTATTTTATTTTCACCTTTAATTTTAAAGGTTTTTGTAATTGTTTTATAATTATTTAAAATGATAAATGAATGTTTACACAAACAAAGCAGACAAATACACACAGAGCTCTTTCGTACGAGTCAGTGTGTGATGTGAACGAGGGATCTTTGTTTACACATCAACATGTTGCTGTTTACATCCAGTGCATGAATCTGTCCTGTTTCTAACCTTCAGCTCTGTAAAACTCCAAGCCCTGGTATTTATTTTAATTACAGGATTTTGCCTTCGCCTTTAGAGGTACTATATTATACAGTGCCATCTTTTCTACATCGACTGTTTTCCCTTTATTCTTCAACTCTTCCTTAACTTGTTTCCCATGCCCTTGTGAACTTATCTCAATGACCTCTCCCTCTCCTTGCAGCCGTTTGACTAGCATAGCTTGTTTCCAAACACTTGCTGTTTGTTTTTCCATGCAATCAATCCAAACACTATCGACAAAAAAAATGAGGAAGGAGATGATTGCTTAGCAGCAGAAAGTACATCGCAGTGCTGAGACTCCTGGCAGGGAATTATCAGCTTTATCACACATGCAAACAAATGCAATACAGGCTCGTTGTGTGCCAAACCTCCAAGCACATGGAATCATGTATTCAAGTAACACACGTGCATTCACATACTCTCCGAGTATTCTCTCACATCTTAATTTTCATGTGCATGTGTTTTACTGCCTAAAATAACTTCAAATCTGTGCTGTAAACTTGATATCATATGCTTTCTTACTTTCCAGTCAACCGAGCAATTGGTTAAATATTTATTTTTTATTATAATCTGATCTAAAGCCTGGTTGTCACATGCTGTCACTAGTCATTAGACAATGGCATTGAAGTGTGTCACAGATTTACAGGACTTGACAATTGTACTGAGTGTTTTTTTTTATATACTATATTTTTTTAAAGAATACTGTGCTGCAAGTGCAGATTTACAGAGAGCACACAGATCCATTGTTTTGTTTTTCATGATTCATGTATTCGGGGATTTTTCTTACTGGTTTAGCATTTTTCCAATGTTCTGAGCTCCAAACGTAACTTCTAATCCTCTTTTCTTCCTTAGCTCTGGGCAGAATGGTATGACAGATGAACAGAAAGATAACACTACGGTTTTCACCAAGATCTTAGATAGCCTTCTGGACGGCTATGACAATCGCCTCAGGCCAGGACTAGGAGGTCAGTAAATCAGACATTTATTTTCTTTCTCAGGGTGATTTTCCTTCTTCACATATACGTATACATGCACAAACATATACTGTACATATATGTGCCATATATATCGTATAAGTCAGTGATTCCCAACCACTGTGCCATGGCACACTACACCATGTGTCATGAGAGAGAATCAGGTGAGCTGTTGAAATTATCAAATTATTGTTCTGGAAACTATTAGTTATTTAGCTAAATATGTCACTCTGTTTGTCACTGTGAAATTAAGAGGCAGAACAATTAAATAATATTCCACTAGGTGGCAGTAAATGGCTAAACAATCTTAAAAAAAGGAGAAACTAAGAGCTGTTGAAGAAGATCTTTGTGTGTATCTTTCTTCAACTCCTGCGAGTATATCAGTGTTATGTTCATCTAAACAGACCTGGATTCCACACTGATTAAGTGACTTATACGTAAAGAGAAACTAGAAAATCATTTCAATTCATTACATATACAATTTGGGACATTTATGTTTGGTGGTGCACTGTGGGATTTCTAATGAAACTCTGTGGCATGGCTAAAAAAATGGATTCGGAAATACTAGTATAAATGACATGGAAACCACACACACAATACAGCAAAATGAACTGTAAACACAAGTCCTTCCAATGTTTGTGGGTATGGTTGCAGCAGTAGATTTTGCTGTCATAGTTTAGATTAATTTGATGACATCTGTTTTTTAGGTTCATGCAGTTTAAAATGAAAATATTACAAATCTGTCATTTATTCATGATTGGGTCACTTCAGATTCAGAATATCAAAGAGTCATGGTTTTACATGTGTGACCTCAGTGCTGTGCCAACATGATGGTATATTTCAGAATCAAAGTGAATATTAAATTAATAGAAACATGAACCACTGTCCAGGTAATCTACATGACACAGTCATGACACACTGCTCTCTGACAGTAATGTGTGTTTATGTGGATGGTCTAAATGTTAATGCCATTTTCAAAATGTATCTGTTATCATATACACTGAATGAATTTAACATTATAGCTAGGTGGTTTTGCATTAACAGGTAGTTAGGGGCTAATGGATGCCACTGATAGTAACTCACTTGTGGCAATTTCCTGCTTCAACAGAGCGTGTAACTGAAGTCAAGACTGACATTTTCGTGACTAGTATTCGAACCACGACATGTTAAGTCTCTTTCCCCTCTGTAAATGTCAGTCCCACCCACACTGACAGGATCTGAGAGCTGTCGCATATTTATTAATTAATTCCATTCCTGCGTGTTAATAAAACTGTCACATGAGTGAAGTGAAATCTATGCCTGTGGAATGGTTCTTAATCCAAAAAAGCCAACCCTGAGTGCTTATCTAAATATGCCTCCATTCATTTTGTCCTAGAAATAGTCGACATATTTGGATACGTGTTAAAATATTTCCTTAAAACTAGTACCCTGAATAATCTAGCGGTAACATATATGGGTATGTATAAAGGCTTCATGTACTTTAATGATTGCTTAAGTCTTCTCCATATGTTACTATAAGAAGTAGGGGATGAGGAGTTGGATGAGTGGGTGTTCACCACCAACACTTGATCCTTGACCTGTGCACCGGAAACCAATTAAATCTATCCAAATGTCTAAATGCCTCTTTACTACTTCTACCACTTAGGGAAAAGACTTCTGTTAAATGCCTGTGAAGTGTGTGTGTGTGCGTGTGTATTCTACTTGACATAATCTCAGTTAATTGCGCCGGTTGACATGCAGGCCATTTTGCTGCTGTGTTAAGGCCAGAAGAAAGCTGGGGAATATTTTCTCCAGCTCTAGCCTCTTCCTATCCTTCTCTATTACCTTAAAGCATTATTTCCTTTCATACTAATTATCTCATGCAGGTCGAGTGGAAAAGCCTGGAAACTAATCAAAAAAAGAAAGAAAAAAAAAAAACAGACAGTAGGGTAATTTTTACGCACTTCCTTTATTCTGCCGGGCAGTCAAGTGGAACTTTTTAAATTTGCTCTCAGCTACAGTAAAAAGCTGTCTCAAATTTGAATTGTCCACCTAATTTTGGGCACGGGGCCTTTTTTGTGTCAAATGTAATTTAAATGACTTGGTAAATAGGTTTTCTCCCCAAAGATAAGGGCTAACAGTGGTCATTTCTGCCACTAATGTAATACAACATGACCGCTAACCAAAAAGAGACTCTCTGTGCAAATACTGCATTAAACCAACCACACCATAGTAATATTCACCATCATAAGATTCACACAGGAATGAATGAATGACTAAACTGCCTGCTGCACGGCTGCACTTTCTTCCTCCACATCCTTATCCTTATCTCTCCTCTCCTCATCACCCACCTGCAGGAGTACACCATTGATGTCTTCTTCAGACAGAGTTGGAGGGATGAGAGACTGAGGTTCAAAGGCCCCATGTCAGTGCTTCGTCTCAACAACCTGATGGCCAGCAAGATCTGGACCCCAGATACCTTCTTTCACAATGGAAAGAAGTCAGTGGCCCACAACATGACCATGCCCAACAAAATGCTGCGAATTGAAGAGGAAGGCACTCTGCTCTACACTATGAGGTAGGCTTTCATGTGAACGGATTACAGAATGACCTAGACATTATTCATAGAGTTATATATTAATTTCTTTTAAATTAAAGAGATTTTGTTTGCACCTTAATGTCATCCACGTGTCTTCAAAATCAATATGCCTGAATTTATAAAATTATATCTACATATAATATTTACTCAACAAGAAAAAGCATATAGCATTTGATTAATTCACCATAATATATACTGTATATTTATAGTAATAGATGTCTCTTGATAGCATGCTCTGTAATCTTAATACAAAACCAAAAGCGATTTACATCTGGAGAAACTGAGTAAAAAGCCGTGAACCTTTGTTTCAGTGTGTTTAGCGGTGGGGGGAGGGGAGGAAGCTCGGTCTACCCTGTTGTCACAGATGTGTGAGATGAGGGATGTAAGGGAGATTAGCATGTCATGGGTGCATGGCCTGGAATGCTGTCATGGAATAGAAACCCGCCGCTCAAAGAATTACTTTTTTTTTTCAGTTTAATACTTGAAACAAATGTAATATTTCTGTCTTATGGACATTAGTGTGTTTCCGTTTGTCTTTCACATCTACCGGTACCTCTGTCGCTGTCTACTTTTTGCTGTTTTCAATATTTTCACTGCTTAACACCATGTGATCTATCCAGGCTTACGGTGCGAGCAGAATGTCCTATGCACCTGGAAGACTTCCCAATGGACGCTCATGCATGTCCACTGAAGTTTGGAAGCTGTAAGTGTCCCTGCATTTAAAATGTTCATTCGTGCTGTATATGTACTGTATATATAACCATGAACACTCACACAGACACACACACACACACCTGCCTCCCTGATATGCTGTTCCCGCCTCACCTAACTGGAAGCATGACCTTGCACTAGTCCCTGATAAGGAACAAGAGTGTGGGGAACAGCTGTTCTCTCAGAGGAGCTGTCCTCCAAAGCCCTCTTGGTTTCCCCCCATTCAACCCTGCTGAGCCCTGCAGGACCCTGCAAGACCCCAGCAGGCGTGCTGCACAGCAACCTATGTTTATCAAAGCCAGCGCTGGCTGTAATATGTCCAGAGCATCAAAGCAGCTGGTCAGTGCTGACAGCTACCTCCCACTCTGCATCACCCTTGAAAGAAAGGACTTAACCAGGAATGGAATGATGAAAGTTGGAGACAAGAATTGAAGAAAGAGACAGGGCATACAGCAGGGTTTAGGTAGTAAGGATGTAAGCAACATGTAACCAATCTAAAACGGAGGAGTGAGCATTGCAGAACAGCTGCACAGTGTGAGAGAAAAATCCGGCTTCAAACCGTCCTCAGACTGAACTTACTGCCTGAATATTTCAGCAATAAGCGATTTTTCCTCATGCTGCAACATGCAGTTACACTATTCTTACGCCTACAACAGTAAAAACCCAATCCAGCTCTGACAGGATCGGTAGCTAAAGGGGGGCAAAAAATATATATCTGGCAGTTTTTACTTCATGGGAGGTTCAGTTTGTTTATTATCTCATAGCTGATAAATGACAAAGCAGTGCAGCTTGATGTTGAATCACATTATTAGGTTTGACAAGGAACATCAAATATTAAAAAAAAAGAATGACTTCAAACAGGTAAACAATATTAAATACAGGCAGGAGACAAATTGAGTGAGAAGGCAGAAAAGAATGATTTACTTGAAAAGTAAATGAGACGAGGCAGGTAGAGCAGCACTGAGGGATGACGACAAGACACGAAAAAAAAAGACACGTTTTTTGGGAGAAACTTTGAATTAACTTTCCTACATGGTATAACTAGAATATCTCAAAATATTTTTTTTCCCAAATGTTACAGGTGTCAATCTCAAGAGCGTTTCAGACTGACATACGACAAACAAACTATTATTTAGTTGCAGACAGAGACACAAACAAAACTGATGCAGACCATAGGACTGAAGACAGAAACATCTACTGTGTGGTTTACTCAATGTGGGCGTCTATAGTTGAATACATTGCTGATATATGTGCAGGAATCAAAGAAAGACAAAGAGGAAGAGGAATATATAATTGCCCTTTCTGTCACAGTTGAGTAGACAAAGGCAAATGATTTTGCAGCAAATAAATAATAATTTTCAGTGAATCTCTCACAGCACAGTAGCACAGTTGTTGAGAAAACATTGGCCCTGGAGCACAGGTTAAAGCTGCCATGACTGTGTGACATATAGGAGGACATATATGAGGGCCCAGCAGTCCATTATATATACCCATGTGTGAGTCTTTGTATAAACAATGAAGGCAGGTAGACCAGATACACTGTATACTGTTATAAAAGAATGAATACAATGCAAGAGCACTAACCTTTTGCTGTTTTTGTCCTTATTAGACGCCTACACTCGAGCCGAGGTGGCGTATGTGTGGACCAGAGGAGCTGCCCAGTCTGTGGTGGTGGCAGAGGACGGTTCCAGGTTAAACCAGTATGATCTGATGGGACAGAGTGTGGATTCTGGGGTGTTGCAGTCCAGCACAGGTACAGTAATGAGTTTGTTTTATGTGCAACAGATGTCTGCAAAGAAAGAAAAGCAAAGACATGAAATGGAAACACATTTTAAAATTCCCAGTGTTTACACAGCATTTTTAGCCCTTCTGATTTCAGCAGTTTGCTCCTCAAAACATCATCTGTGTAGTTGTTTACCACGCTGCAGAAAGTTCAGACACCCCATCTGTGCTGTCCTTTTTCTTTGTTTTACAATGACAAGAAATGTCCCAGATTCATCATCTCCCTACAGGCTACTACATCTTTTCCACACCTTCTGTTTTTGGTCCATTGATACTTGCAAAAAGGTGACCTGCTTGCACTAAAGCTAGAGCTGCAGGCTGAATGCACTGCATAAGACAGACCTCTCCGACAAATTTACACTTTTCTTAATTAGTGAAACTAATGGCACACATGGCACTGTGTTAACTCTGATTGAAATAAAACTCTCGACCGTGCAACAGACAGTTTAATGGACATTGGTGTTTCTTTTCAGCAATAACACAGAATTGACACGCAGACATTTCAGTGAAACCTCAGTGTTGTTCATGTGATTGCAGTGGTCTCCCTGCAACCAGGCGTAGACCAGTTGGTTGACAAATGGCTCCCATAACTATGGCAATAAATCCTGACCACAATACAAGTTAAAGCCCAACACACAGCAAACTAATAAAAAAAACATATTACACTATAGGGACAGCTGCGATGGATGTCTTCAATTTTTCCTCCAGCAGCAAAAAAAAGTTAATCTCTCGACTTTCTGACTTGTCTACGGACCACAGGAGAGTATGTGGTGATGACAACCCATTTCCACCTGAAGAGGAAAATTGGTTACTTTGTGATCCAGACGTACCTCCCCTGCATCATGACTGTCATCCTTTCCCAAGTCTCATTTTGGCTCAACAGAGAGTCCGTCCCTGCTAGGACTGTTTTTGGTGAGTCACGTTCTTCTCTTAAAATCTGTTGGTAGAAATAAATTCACCTATCAACAAAACTTGTGGGTAAATAAAAGGAACATTGGATTAATCAGTTCATTATTTTTATCAAGGCCAATGAAAGTGACTTCGGCGTCATTTGTGTGTCTGTGGACGTGGTTGATATTCATTTTCTCATTGTGTCCCTGTAAGAATGCAGAGACACAGACTCTTCTCAATGTCAAATCATTTTTTAACGCAAAGTAATTGTTCCCAAAGAATGATTCAACAATTTCATGCTCAATGCAAACACTGTTGTACACTGTTGTTGTTCTGCTGTGTCTCTGCACCAGTGAGGTGAACATGAGCTTTAATCAACTGTGGCTTGCTGCAGTAGAATTTCAAGCACAAAGCACAGCAGGACTTTGAATTTACGTGCTCTGAATGTGCATCAACAAGTGCGTGTGTGTGCACGTGTGTTCTGCTCGTGCCTCTCTCTGATGTGTTTGTCACTCTGGTTTAATGTATGTACAGCTGCAGGGGTTGACCTACGTGCATTGTCATCAGGAGTGTGTCTGATGTGAGTCTGTCTGTCACACTCAGGTCTTACATAATGCTGCCTAAAACAACAGCTTTTGCTAGTCTGCAGCATGATCTGTAGCAACAGAGACCAGCAGCAGGCAAAATGTCCTTGAGTTACCTCCTCACCACCACCCACACCGCCCTCTCTCCTCCTCTCCTTCCTCTCACTTTTCTCAAAGATGTCATTGTCTCCCTGCAACTTAAAACATGCAGATAGATTGCTCTCTGTTCTTTATCTTCTGTTTTGTCCTTCTGGTTTATGAGTGTATTTTTTGGCTGGGTGTGAACGCCACAGCGGGCTACCTGCAGCGATCGTCACGTGTCGAGGGGAAGTGAGGATGGCCTAGATTGGGGTTAAACTACTATCTAGGGCACGTGTGTCCCTCATGCTATCTTTGCTGGTTCTGCTTCAGGAGATTACAAGTGTGCATGCAGACGATGTAGACACACACATTTACACACACATGCACACACAGTTGAATAATTGCATGTGCAGGATGTCATGAAGACACAGATCACTGCAGCAGTTTTACAGGCTTTACTGAAAACTGATGGATGACCCTGTTCTCCCAAGAGGTTGCAGTGTCAATGTTGCTTAAAATGAATCATTTAAAAGATGCAGAGGGCAATTGGGATCTTTCATAGACATTTTAATCCTGTGGCTGGCATACATGAGTTGTAGGTTGAGGTTGGGTCCTACAATAGTGTGCTAGGTGTTAGCTTTAGTCTTCCAACACTTGTGATTCTGTTGGTTGTGTGAGAATCATTTGAGCTGCTCTGTTGCCTCGTGACTTGTGAGCCTGATTTGTAAATTGGGCTTTGAATATTAAGTCAGTATAAAATAAATTAGAAAATAGTCTGTCCGTGGTCTTAGGCTCAGAATGTTGAAAGGCATTAGTTTTTCAATTTTAGATGACACTTATGTTTGACTTTTTAATATTTTCTTTTAGTCAAATATCTTCATGTACATCTCAACATGTGCTATTGCACAGCAATGAGTAAAATCCACCAATTTCTTGTTCCAGCAATATAATGGATTTTTTTTTTAGCAAAGCAAAGGTGTTGGTAATTTCTAGAAATAACTATGATTAATCGTGATTACACCAACCACTCTGTGGTTAATCTGAATAAAAATGTTAATCATTTAACAGTACTATATAACACTCAAATTATAAACCAATCAATTTTTGTCTTCTTTTTATAGATTCAAATTTAATCAGTGAACCCCATAATAAACAATAACACGTCAATCTGTTTTCCTTATCTGCATAATTTCCTTAAAATCCCTTCAGAACTTGAAAGTGAATAAATAGATGCTTGATAAGATTCACAACTTAATGCCTTTTAATTCTTTGCTTGTGTTCTTCTTCTAAGATGCTCAAAAATTAAGAGCAGAATTTTTGAAAAATAAAGGTTTGTTTCCATTTGGGGAATCATCCTAAATAAATAGGCATTATTCAAATCCGATTAGCTCTATTTAAATAATCAAAAACAAGCCAGGATTTAGTATCTATAAATGACGCAGCATTTCTTTTCCTCCTTGATATTGTTACTTGTGTTGTCGACACTATCCTGCAGCGGTATAATCACTCAGTCGTTCCTACCAGGTGCCAGATAGCGTGCAAGTATCGTGACGCTTTAAATAAGCACGTTTGTTTATGCTGCAATGACAAAAAGGTTTTATTTTATCACGCACACAAAAGACTCCAGTGACGCCTCATTCTTTCCCTCAAAACAGGCAATGGAGAAGAAACATTGCGTTTCATTTGTTGTATTCTGTCAGAGCAGAGATGCACTAGAATGATGGCAGACATTTATTCACAGCTGGGATTTTTCTGAGCTTCATTTCAGAACAGAGTCCCCATGTACCATATATTGCACAACTAGTAATAATCACCTTTACGGATGATCTCTACAGATGTAATCAGATTTATGTTACAAAGCCCACAACAGAAACTGCCAAAAAATGTACAAGTGAAACACAGCGCCCAATGTTTAAATTACATTATGTGACAATGATGCACAGCCTCTCTTCTAAATCTCTTCCCCAAAGCCTGCCCGGTAGTTGAATAGGTAATTTAAAGGCACAGCGGTGTGTGGAGTTATCTTATTTATCATTGTGCCGATTAAATGGCTGATTAGTTTATGGCTAGCCAGTTTGGTCTGCTGGGAAACTGTTGCTAATTTATTTCTATGCCACTACTGCCAAGAACAAAACAGAGGAACCCGTAATGGTACTGATAGTTTTACCTCCAACATCCTACTGTGTGTCTAAGACGTCAGGGACAACAGCACTCCCAAGATTAACTCGCTTCCTGTTCTCCTTAAAGAGCCATAGCCTGGGTATTCATCGATTCTCCCACAATGCTTTTTAATGTATCTGCTCATTAACAAACAGCATCTGTGTGTGTGTGTGTGTGTACTAGTTGTTGTGTTTACCAACAATGTGTCTGTAGGAGTCAATGCATTTTGCTGCAGCCACACCTGTATATGCTCCTGCTGGTTGTATGCCACTGGGTGTTAATGATGATGTAGTGGAATGTTTGTGTAGCAGTAATGCTGTTTGATAATTACAGTCTGCCAATCAACGCTTCAGTCCATTTAAATGGATGATGAATTGAAGACTTTGTGTTTCTCAGTTTTATTTTAACCTCCTGAAAATGTGATTATTGATACATAAATGGCCCGAGCACAGCTGCACTCCCAGAGCATGATTAAAAAAACAACAAGCATTCATTGTAGGGAACATTCATTAACCCACTGTTAAAGATATAGCATCAAATGTATTCAATTATGGCTTGAGATTGAAATTTTAAAAAAGATTTTTCCCACTAAAATTAAAATAAACTAAATTCCTCAGTTTCTCTATATTTACCTCCAAATGGAAAACTTAGACTTTCCATATCTTTCTAGTTTCCAATGTCAATAATTCCATGTACAGTGACTTTTTATGACCTCAGAATTGTTACTAATAATTATTAAAACAGGATATACAGCAAAGTACAGCAAACTACAGCACAGTAGTAACAGTTTGACACCAAAAACCTCAACAACTACATTCTAAACCAAAGAGCAGAGGAATGAATAACAGGCTGCAGGACAAACACATTCCTCCTCCTTCCTGATTAACAGCTCCCTTTTCTAATGTTCCCTGATAACAAATGTGTGCAATTAGAAGTTCGAACAAAAAAATATTAGCTATGAACCAAACAATGATAACAACCAGCTGAGCACTGCTGTGAGCTGGAGAGAACTCATTATTCAAATACACATAATGCATCTAGTATAGACAACATTACCAAGAAGTATATGTTACATTTATTTATCAATTTTGTTTTAAGTATCAACTTATACATTTGGAGTACTACAGTTAAGCCTTTTTATATAACTTTTGTAATTTAAAACATTAGAACTTGTAAAGGTTTGGATCTAGTCAGGCCCATGAACCTGGTTGCACATAGCACATTGGCTTGGTTAGCTGAACTTCCTATGTTTTCTTTTAAACCAACAAAGACCTCTGGGTAAACAAATACAGTTTTCATAGTTGTATAGTCATATAACCATATGACTCCATTGACAGAGCCCTCAGATAGGAAGTTAAGATAGTTTAAAAGTAGAAACAGTGAAACTCACTCACTTTGTTTTCTTCTTGCTGTTCTTCCTGTGTTCAGGCAAAAGAGTCCCTCTGGGAACATGAAAATGTTAAAGGTTCCCTTTTTTTTTTTTTGTTGTTGTTTGTGTGCTCTGAGTTTCTGTTATTGCCAAATGAAGGTAGTAAGCTGCTACACACAACACAGCTTTGTTTTAAGTGGCACCTGTCATATGGTGAATATGAAAGGTGCCACTTAAAACAAAGCTGTGTTGGTGGTCAAGGTTGTTGTATAGTGAACACCTTTCTGCCGCATCATGTATAAAACATGAGGGTAAAATTATGCTACCTGAAGACAAATGTATTAACTGTTTTAACCTGTAGCCTTAGTTTAGTTAATGTTAAGGGAAAATTCAATGGATTTAAAATCAGTTTCACATGATTGAAATTTGAAACCTATGAAACAGGTGCATATTGAGATTACATGTCAATGCAGTCATATCAAATTTAATTATAATTACATCTTCCGTAAAAGCTTTTAATAAAATAATGCTATCCGTTCTCTTTTCTCCCTTTTTGTAAATAGTTATTTTCCCCTCTGTGAGTAGAATGAGTCTGCAAGAATGTGCAGACTGAGTTAAACTGAGTGGAAATAACTTGGTTAAGACCCGAGTTAATAATACAAATGAGCAACTTTGTTCAGTGACTGCCTTCAAAGCCTCCAGTCTATTAAGTTACAACAAGTCAAATGGAATCATTTAAAGTCAGCGCCAGAGATTTGTTCTAATTAAACAGTCCTGCTGTGATTCCTAAGGAGAACTGTCACTGAAAAGATACACAGAGAACTGTTCTACCTCCGTGGTATAGAACCCTCACGTCTGGCTGTATTACGAAGAGAAACATATATATATTTACATTAAATGTACATAAACATAAAGAGAATTCAAACACATCCTGTGAATGTCTAAGTAGAACATCTCTGTCTTCATTATTATTTATTTTCTCTCATGAAAGACGTTTGAGGGACTGGAAGACTAGTTTCCATGACAACGCAATGTGTCAAACAAAGTAAAGGATATATGATTCCAACCATCAGGGTTCTTTTGTAGGGAATTGCGTAACACCCAGTGGTGCTGCCTTCATCCATCTCCACAAAATTAACTGATTTGCTGGCATCTAAAAACCTGACAGATTAAGACCCCTGTGTCGCAGCCCATCTGTCCGTCCACGTTCCCTCCCTGTTGTCCGCTGCTTTCCACAGTAAACCACTAATCCTCCAAAATGCACAGACCTGCATCCTCCTCACACATTTGCATTTACGTTCTTCAGTTATGTCTCACGATGCGATGTGAAAGCGCTCCTTCCTCAACCTTCACAGTAGCTAACTGTTATGGAGCAGTGAAAGTGGAGCTGAACTGCTTTGTATTTCGGCAACCTGCTGTAGCCATGAGTTTGCATAAATTCTGATGGACACACAGTAAGCTGCGACACCTAAAACCAAATGTCACGCTCCACCAGATACCTAGGGACTGCAGTTGTCAAACCTGAGGTACATCTAGTGCTGACCCGTCGACGCCACCGAAGAAAACAGACAACAACAAACATAAGCAGTTTCCTATGTTGTATTATAATAAGTTGTTATAAATATTTGAATATATACTGCCTCATCATCTGCGTATATCTTTAATGAGACATCTTGTTTTGGATATTTAGAATATGAAGATTAAGAACAAATATTTTTTAATTAACAAATGCCATTTGCTTCTTTTTTTTTGTCCCTTTTTATTTCACAAACCACACAATGAGCCAGACATCCTTTGTACTTACTTCTACCTCCAGTAAATGCATTGGAGCTGTCTTATTTTCCTGAAGCTAATGAGGCATCATTTGAGAACATAATAATCACCTTTAATATATCATGTCAGCCAAGTCTACTGCACACTGGCAAAAATTATACAAAAAGGAGGCTGAAGAGTGGGTAATTAATCTCACATCTTCAAAGTTGAAAAGACAAAAACAAATCTGGAGGATATTTTACTAAATAACAACAGCTGGAAGGTGTCTTTGTGAAGCCTGCACCGAAGCCATACCTTCGAATGAAATTATTTAATTTTCTTTTTATGCTCTTTTGAATCTGTAAAAAGCAGGTAATCAGGCTCAGTGGTCCATTTGCTGAAGGCAGCATTTGTTGCTCTGATGGTCACATTTCCAAGGACTAGACTCTTAATAAAAAACAGTCTGAAAAAGACAAAGAAAGCTGCAGATACAATTTCTTTTTTTTTTTTTTTTTTTGGTTATACTTTAGAAGCTAGTTCAAGATCTAGATATTTTGTATTTTATCACAAAAATATCGCCTCACATCCAAAGGGCTTTTTCTCTTCTATCTAATTAATGGAAAAGACCAGGTATTAAGTCCTTAGGAGCTGCAAACCTAAATAGATGATCATTATGTTACACACTGCACTCCTTGACCCACTTTCTGGATGTTTACCTGAGTCAATGTGTAAATTGAGGTCATCAAAATGCCCTAGGAGACTGTTACTGTGTGTATCTTGGAAATGAACCGTATGATTCTGAGCTGGATTGAGTTTAGGAGAGAAATCACAGATCCTCATTGTTGGTGCCTGACGGCTTACACAACGTCTCTGTTAAGGAAGGGTTTTTGAATTTCCAGGATCTTTTTTTTTTCAAAATTTCACAGATATCTCGACCTCCAGAATTTTCAGAATCATCTCTACTGTAGATTCTAATGATATCTGAATTTATATCTACTCTTGATAAACACATCTATGATACACAAAGGAACATGTGTCACCCATCCTTTTATATACGGCATCACAAAAACCCTGTCTTTACTCAGAAGTTAGTCAGTTTGACTCCAAATTTTCAAGCGAAGCTGGATTCCTTTTCGTAAAGCTCAAAGAATTTAATTTCTTACTGTCTTCTTGTCCAGAGTCTTAGATTCTTTTTACGTCTATAAAAGAGCATGGCAAAAACGCTTTATCGTTATTGTATTATAATTACTCCAAGTTTGCAGATCACATTCAGGATTGAAGTCCAAATGACTGTTGCTTATGAGCAGCAGTGTCTGTGAGGCCCAGGTCGAAGCTGCAAAGACAGATTAATATGTGATATAAGAAAATCCATTCTGTTTATGAATGCAGAAATAACTTTCCATGCATAATATAGTTTTATTACATCATTATCATTACCACCATCTATCTGATATGCAGCGTTAGCCTCGCATATTTTCTCTCTATATATTTATCGAGCACAAGCCAGTTGTATTTTCTTCTGAGATCATAATTGTGTATTGATCCTGCCTCTGTTTTTCCCCGCAGGAGTGACCACTGTCCTGACCATGACCACGCTCAGTATCAGTGCTAGGAACTCTCTACCTAAAGTGGCCTACGCCACAGCCATGGATTGGTTCATCGCTGTCTGCTACGCTTTTGTTTTCTCTGCTCTCATCGAGTTCGCCACCGTCAACTACTTCACCAAGAGAGGTTATGCCTGGGATGGAAAAAGTGTGGTGCCAGAGAAGGTATTTGACGTATTTTAATCCCCTTTCATTGTTTTTATATCATTTTAAAAGACAAAAGATTTACCACCGTATAGACAGGCTTGAAAAGCTCACAATTACATTTGTAGAAAATCAATATAGTCAGTGTTTGCCTCATGCTTTAATCTCCATTTATGAAAACGCTTCAGTCAGCAGAGTAACATTCTCTGTCAGCATATACACTGTGGACAAATGTTGAACAGTCATTTATAATATACATTTTGTATTTTACTATATCAAATGTTGTCAATGGTAATAAGTGTGGAGAAAAGAAGGTGGTGCACTACTGCAATAAGATTCAAAAATAATATATATTACCAGGACTGTGTTTAATACAATAGGTCAAAGCAGAGTCAGTTATTTATTTCTCCAATCTTTACTTTTATTTATTTTTTTAATAGGGGCAGATTACATTTTTTAACCAATTAATTATAACTGTGGATTTATTGTCAGTTATCAATTAATCATGAGTAATTGTGGTCATAATAGTTCAAGATGAGTCACGATAAATAGAACTGAATCAGCATTCCTAAAAAAAAAAAACATGTGTTTGAATCAACATATGTGGATGGTTGGTGGAAAAAAGGAAGGTGATTTGCCCATTCATTTTAACGGACCCATTAATAATTTGTGGAAAGGAACTATCTACCTATAGCTGTAACATTTGCCTTTCTTGATCTATAAAATCAGCAAAAGAAGAAGAAGGATTCCCTCCTGAAGAAAAACAACACTACAGCCTACCCAGCTGCCACTGCAACAGCCTTCGCACCCAACATTGCCAGAGACCCAGGACTGGCCACTATTGCCAAAAGTGCACCACCACCTCCAACTGAGCCCAAGGAGGAGCCAAAACCCAAGCCTCCAGAGGCCAAGAAAACATTTAACAGTGTGAGCAAGATAGACAGGATTGCCAGAATAGCATTTCCCCTGCTCTTTGGAACCTTTAACTTGGTCTACTGGGCAACCTACTTGAATAAGAAGCCCAAACTGCAGGGGATGAATCCACACTAATCCGTCTTTTAATCTTTTGAAATTCTAAATGTAACTATTTCATTCTTTCTTTCGTATTCCTCCTTAAAAAAAAGATATTTATTTTCAAACAAACATGGTGTCCATGCTGGTTTGAACTCCCAGTTGTTGCATTGCTTCGATGTTTACTTAAAGATTTTGAGGATTTTGAAAAAAACTAAACAGAGAAAAAAAAAAACAATATTACAACAGTACTGACTTTGAAAGGCCTGTTGTTCACGGTGAGAAAATACTAATATAAATAAATAGTCCAGAGAATGCTATTCTACAACCACTCATAACCCATATCTGTACTAAATATTTATTATTCTAATTATTATCATTTACATTTATTTTTACCAGTGTGTCAGACATGTGGGAAACCGAGCTAGCCTGGTATGCACGAATGAAACATTATTTTTTTGTTTATTTATTTATAGAATTACAGATAAATATTTTTCAGATGGCTTAACATTTTAGATAGATCAGTAAAATCATCCACCTAGTCATTGTCACCTCCCATTCTTCCATTCTATGTAGATGATTTTGCAATTTAGTATTACATCATTCTTCGAAAAAATATTTTAGGGTTCCTGCAAGAGCAATAAAACATGTCTCAGTGGACACAGCATTTATCTAGGGGATCAAAAAAGAAGTACGAAAAAAAGTCAATCAGCTGTGCTCGGCATATGAACTACTAATTTGCTTTCACGGCACTGTAAATATTCTCATGTGTTAGAGGTGTCGACATTGTTTAAGCTTCGCAAATTTTACCTAAAGGCTATGTTTGTTGATTTCATCCAAACGTGTTTTCACTTCATTTCGTTTTATATGAAAGAGATATCTATACCTTATTATATATATAAATCTATATATATATATATACAGTATATATAAATATATACTGGTCTTCTTCAAGCTTAAGTGACTGTTTTTCACCAAGTTAGTGTTCCATTGGAAGCTGCTTTCACACTGGGGTAATATATCGGTCAGTTGTGCGTCTGTGTGTACACAATGACAGCAAAGACAACAACACCATCACTAGTGTAAACACAAACTGACCAGTCATGAGTAAGATTGTATAAAAAAAAGACATCTCAAACATTTTAGAGCATTTTACATTTAGAATAATAATAATAAAAAAATACTTAGATGGTTTGTTTGGTGAGATTGACGTGATTTATGACCTCATTTGCCAAAACACCACTTCTAGCAAAGTACAGTTCACATCACTTAAGGAAAGATGGGGCATTCTGAGAAGAAGTGCCTTTCCCAGTGTCAGAGGCGGAGGTGTGATGGCTGTTACTTTGTTGATTGATGAAACATCCATGTTGACCATGACGCTGTGTCCTGGATCGTGTCTCTCACTATGGCTGAAAATTGAAATATATACCCACTCAGAAAGTACCAGCTACACTGCCTTCAGTATCACATGCCTGTTTGGATTCATTTGCTGTTGTTGTTGTTGTTTGTTGGTGAGCAACAGCGATAGACGGGGAAGGAGACAGAGGGAGACAGGGAGAGGAATAGACGTTGAGTTGAGGTGGCACTGTAATTTTACTTTAGCTGGTACTGTGTTCCGCACAGACTTGTCTTGCAGTTCTACCACAGTGATAAAGATTAATATATTTTTGTAGCATGATGTCAGTACCCTCTATAAAGAAGAAAAAAAACAAAACAACCAAAAGTAAGGCAAATGTGAAAAGAATGCTTTTGTTTTTGTCTTGAACTTGCTTGCTGTTTTTTTCCCCTGTTTTTTTATTTATTTATTTTTTTCAATTTAGAAATGATACTTTCATCACCTGCCTCTTCTGTAAAAACGGCATGTGACGGTTTCTGGACAGTCCTTCTAAATTATGTTAATGTAGCAATATTAATTAGCAAGGGCTTTTCTTAGGAACATAACATGACACTTAGCTCTTGGGGGGTTGTATTCATTGTAGCTTTACACTGATTCCTCCTACTTGTAATTTCTCTATTATGCTGTATCTAGAAAAATACTATTGTTTTGGGGGTTTAGTTGTTGTTGTTATTTATTGCGTTTTGCATCCCTGATGAAGCAGGGTCTGACATCGTTGTACACACACTCTGGACATTTTCTGTGTATTACTATAGCTGTGGCTTTTCTCAGTATGTGCACTTCCTGGCAGAAGAAAAACAAGAACTTTCTGTGTATTTGCACCCAGAGGTGAGAGGGTAATAAGATTTAAATACAACAACTGCTGTTGATATTGTTCTGATTTGCAATTAGATTATGAGCAAAACTGATACTATCCTCTATTTTTTTGACATCGTTGCAATCATCTGCATGAAGTACAACATTCAAATCCACCAAAGCCACAGACAGAGGGTCAAGAAACAGCAAAGTTCAGGGTGAAGAGTTTTACAAATGATCCTAATTCCAAAACTATTGTATGTATGTTTATTATCAAGGAGAAAGGAGATATATATATATATATATAAAAATGTATACATATGTAATATATATTATGTATGCAGAATTTGATTATATTAATGAAGACATTAACTCAATGATAATTAATATTGTTTGCGTTATCAACCTGTTGTTATGCATTTTGCACATTTAGAATTAACAGTTGCATTTACATTTATATAGTTAGCTTTGTGCTATGCAAGGACAGCTTTGAACCACACCATTTTCCCCCCAGTTGTTGTTTCCAATACACAAGCAATGGTATATATATATATATATATATATATATGTGTGTGTGTGATAAGAAGTTCCTGTCATCCATCTCTGCTGTGCAAACCATTAGCTTGATTTTATTCTATGACTATACAGGGTGACTATGGAGAAAACGGTTGATCATCTTTTTTTTTTTTCTATTTGCACGTAAAAGTCTTGTGAAGGGTGGAGAAATAGAAAATTGATTGATTGATTTTAGAGATTTTTCTCAACAACTGTGCAATACAGAAACTGTAACGATGAACACGGGGGGAAAAGGGTAAAAAAAAAAACTTATATATTTTTTTTGGAGCTTCTTTGACATCACGTAAAAATGTTGCCAAATTGATTTTTTTTTATTATTATTATTTTGCTCCCAAAGTCGGAAATACTGTTTAAAATTTGGACTAAAGACAAAGTGAAATTTCTACAGGGTTTTATTTTCCTCTGAACGTTTTTGATATACTTTCAAACTGGATCAAAACTAATTCTACTGAAAATCTACACCTAATGCTCCAGAAAGAAGGAATGTAAAATATGAGGCACGGTGCAATCATGAGCTTCCAACCCTTACCTTCAAACTCATACACATGTAAATAGTACATTTGTTGCCCACAAGTCATTCGTTTGATTATGTTTGGTGCGAGGACCATTTCAGTTCTTTGCAGCACTTGATTTTAACACCGAGTTTGTTTTGTTATTTCTATATACCTACTGTTTTTTCTTGTATTTTTATCAAAGCAAACTATATTCTGAGTTTCACTGACGTGTAAAAAAAAGACAAATTTTCTAAAGCACAACAGTTGACGAGTAAGAATTAGAGAAAAATGTGCTGTGTAACACGTGGACAAGAATAACCAACATCCATTTACTTTTACGAGCATACGACCCAAATACTGTCCACAGGAATGTGTTTGAAGTGCAGTAAAATACTCTAAAGGTTCTGATGGATGTAAATGAAAAGGTGTACCTTCTGTAAATGTTTTATTTTCTTTCTTTTGGTTATGATATGGCCCTGTAGGATCCAATTCTCTGCATTAGTCTTTAAATAAAAAGAACAAATGAAAGGTTTGGCCTCCTCTCCGTCCTTCTGCTACAGCGTACAGTAAATGCTACAATCACAAACAAAACCGATGATTTGAATAGTGCTGCGAATGGCAGTGACAAATACTGAGGCTGTTTCGTATTAACATGAACACGTGTAAAAACACGGGCCTGCAGGAAAAAGGAAAAGCTGTGCATTTCTGTGATTACAATTTAGATGTACGATTAATTACACTAACGCTTTAACAGCCTCGGCTGTGATTTGTTAAAATTAGCAAACATGCTACAACACAGCGCTCAGAGGTTGAAATGGTGAATTAAAGATGACTAATAGGCTAATATACAATCCTTAAACTCATAAAATCACATCATGTTTGTTTTGTATTTTACCTACCATTGACACCTTCTGGTTTCAACTGATTCTGTGTATAACTGCCTTAATGTCCAGGTAGAGCTTCTGCCCCACGACCTCCACTGGCACACTCAACTGTAGGTTCTGCACCTCATTACTTTTCTCATCACTTCTGACCCTCTTCTCCCCGCCACTCTTCATAAGCCTCCACTTCATCTCCACCTTCTTCATCTTGCTGACTTTCATTGCGGGGGAAGGTGTGCTTCTTCCTTTAAAGCATGAGCTCCCAAGGCCTGAGACTGTTATGTAACAAAGCTGCTTCTCACTTCGCACAAGAACAAAGAGTTGAGGCTTTTTCTCATTCTCTCTGCTTGGTCTCTCCTTCCCCTCCCTGGGCAAGGATTACCATGTTTTCTTTTGATAAGAATTTTACACGTTTTATTTCACAGCGGTGTGTGAATAGGCACGAGTACATGCGCACCTTAACTGCAATTATTCCAGAATAGTCTCAGTCAGCCCGCAAATTCCATCTTGAGGGTCCTTTAACAGTATGCCCCCTAATAACAAATTCAACCACAGGTTGTAATTGAAAACAGTAGGCAGTGATAAAATATCTTTAGACATGAGAACCCAACTACAGGCAAACATTATCATAAACATGAATAAATCAACTAGTTTGGCTGTTGGAAGAGTCAATAAATATCTACACTATTGCTTCTATTCAATATCAGTTAATTAAATCGTCGTTTGGCCCAGTGGTTCTAAAGTGGGGGGCGGGGTCCAATGCAAGTCAAAATATTTTTTTAATTTAATATAAAGTCAAAATTAAACACAAGTTTTATTTAGGGAACAGTGTGAAGATTACCCCTATGCTGACTGATTAATGTAAGACAGAATCTGTTCATTAGAATCAGACCCAAAACATCTCCCTGAGGATAACAATTGCACAAAATCTTTAATGAAACTCTACCTTTAGTAAATTCATATTCTTCACAGCAGGAACACCCAGGTCTCAGATCAGCTGAAGAGCAGTGAGTCGTCGTTGCTCTGCTCAAAGCCCCAGATTCTCGTGTCACATCTCATTGTCAAAGCTCTAAATTCTCAAGCTCGGCCTCGTCAGGAACTCACATCTCCTGAGATTTCTATCAGTTATCACTGTGCTCGCTCTTTCTCATGTCTCTTTGCTTCAGCTGCACACTCCGTCCTGTTTCCTGCTGTCTCTTTTTTCCACTCTTACCTCTCAGAAGGCTTACAAATGACTTGGCCTCGCATCAGGGTTTTAAATTTTTGTTTTTTCTTACACCGATTAAATCAATAGATAAAGACAAAAGGGCACTCATAATGTATGACCATGACATGTCACAAAATGCTCAAACATATGCACAGTAAATTTTGTTCAGAAATTATACAATGTCTCTAATGCAGTGGTTCCCAACCTTTCTTGACCCTATTTTGACTTTACAACTTTCATGCAACACCAAAAACATTTCTGTTCTTCTAGAATTATTTTTTTTTCTGATCACGTTTGTTATACTGTGTTCCAAATACAGTAGAGAGCAGCCAGATTAGTGCACAGAGTGACTTTTTGTTTTCTCTGATCACATGCACAGTTAGGTCAGCCTGATTTTGCAAGGCTGAAAATGAATACTGAACAGACAATCTCTCAAACAATGAAAAAAAGAGCTGCTGCAGCGTCTTAAACTGACCACAGGGACGAGGGAGGAAGGATCCAAGAGTTATTAGTTAATGTCTTTAATCAATTACAAGACATTTCATGTGACCCTCTGTGAATTCCAAATGACACTATGTGGGGTCATGACCCCAAGGTTCATTCATTCATCATCCATTTTCATCCGCTTATCCGTTACCGGGTCGCGGGGGCAGCAGTCACCACCCAAATCACATTGCACCGTACCCAAACCTTCCTGTGGGTGGTGAGTCCACTGGAAGGTACCAACCGCCCTAACCGAGATTCGAACTTGCCCAGGAGGTGAACCCTGGGGTTCCACACCAATGACAGAGACATTGCCTCTGGGCCAAAGCGCCACTGACCCCAAGGTCCAATTCTAATGTTATTAAATAGGACAAGACTCCATTGATCTGTAAAATCAGCTTCAGCTGCTCCTATGTAGTAATGAAGCAGACATCCATCAACATTTTTTAGTCTGTAGCTTTAGGGTTTTTTTATTTAAAATTTATTTCAGCATTTTCTGAAATTTGTGACATTTAACCCAACATTGAACTGCAGGCATCTATTGTATAACTAAGCTTTGTTCACAGAGGCTTTACTGGAGGAAGGCCCAGAGCTGTATCCCAGTGCATGAGATGTCCACAAACTACAGAGATAAAAACTAATCCTGCATAATGAAAGGATCACTCGTACTGCAACTGCTGGAAAACCCAAAACTCTTCTTGACAATGCAGTCATTTGCATCCATAATTCCTCATACGGTAGAAAGGACTTGGCCGGGGCAGTTTGTGAAGGCTAAAAGCTGTACGCGTTCAAACAAATGCTAATCTTTTGCAGTTTGAATGATATTAGTGATTATTATAGGGAACTTGCAGAGTCACCGTTGTGACAGGTTCGTCTGGATAGGAAAGTCGTTAAACCCAAGTTAAAGCAGCAAAATACTGCTAATGATTATAGAGGCAGCTAAAGGCAAGACTCATTAGTCTAAAAGAACGAGCGGATGATGTTGGGCCTAACAGAACATATTCTTCAGGCTATCACAATATGAATAACTTATTATCTGTTTCTTTTCTCCCATTTGAAATGCTTTACCTTTTTTTTTTTTAATTTCTTTGAACTCAACTTGTTTTGGGAGGATCAACCAAACTCTTCAACCTCGCCGAACCGTTTCAAAGGACAGCAATTGAATCAGCCTAGAGTGCCACTCTGACTGAAGCACGAAAGGTGGAGAACACAATAATTGAAGGTGACGGTGAAGGTTTCCAGGGTGTCAAGGAAACAGACAGATAAGGTTATTGGGGGTTCAAACAACAGAGGAGAAGAAGGAGAAGATCAATAAGTTAAAGTGACGACCGAAAAAACGAGAAAATCCAAGCCACGGAGGCGAAAACAAGAAGATTAGAAGTCGCTAGACTGAAGTTATAAAAACATTACTAAAATTGGCAAACAAAGCTCAGTAGAGATCAGGGGTAACTGCAAGCCCCCCATGTCCAGACATTCCACTTCAGTTTTCCATTAGAATTCATTTAAAACACTCTAACGTCTTAAGAAATAACTGCTATTCTCATGGAACAAAGACAACATCATTACTAATCAGTGTAACTGACTTCTGTGCCCTAGGGGACACCGCCCCACATTTCGAGAAACCGCTGGCCTGAAGTCTCTGAAACTAGTATTGTAATTATTTTTATTTCCTCTCATTTTTGGTCAGTCTGATAATCCTAATTTGAAATGACTTTATTTTCATTTTATCATAATTGAAAGACACTATTTTTGCTCTCTTCAAAACGCCTTCCCACCCCTTGGTTCTAAGTGATATAATCAAAGTTTATTAACACTAAATAACTTCGGTCTGTTCGCCCAAATATCTCAGATTAAAAAAATCTTCAGCTCATTTTGTGCCTGTTTCATTAATTGCCAACCAGGGCTTTCATGC